TACTTTTATTTCATAATGATGAAGAGGTCAATTCCTCAAGAGAATATAACAATGTTAAATGTTTTGGACCTGGGCATCCCCAGTGGCGCAGCGGTTTGGCGCCGCCTGTAGCCTGGGGTGTGATCCTGGAGACCTGGGGTCGAGTCCCATATCGGGCTCCCTGCATGGAGCCTGCTTCTCCCTCTGTCTGTGTCTCTGCCCCCTCTCTCCCTGTGTCTGTGAATAAATAAATAAATTCTTAAAAAATGTTTTGCACCTAATAACAAAGCTATATGAAACATTGAAAAAAAAGAAAAAGAAAAATAGACTGATAGAAGTGCAAGGATATGCAGACATACCCACAATTATAATTTAAAATTTCAACACTCCTCTCTGAGTAATTGATAGAGCAAGTAAACAAAAATTCAGTAAAGATACAGAAAACTTGACTAACCCTATAAATCAAGTGAACCTCACTGATATTTATAGAACACTCCACCTAGCAAGAGCAGAATACATCTTATTTTCATGTGTTCACTAGCATATTAAGGCCCATAACACAACTTGCAATAAGTCTGCAAGGATCGAGGTCATACAAACTGTGTTCTCTGACCATAATGGAATCATATTTAAAACTGATAACCAGAGAATCTGTTGAAAATTCTCAAATATTTGTAAGGTAAATAACACTTTCTAATAGGAAAGAAATCAAAAGAGGAGTTATAAAGTATTTTTTATTTAAAGAACATAAAAACACAACATTGTAAAATTTGTGGGATGCAGCTAAAGCAGTCTTGAAAGAGATATTCATAGCAATAAACATCTACACCATTAAAAAGGAAAATTGTTTACTAAATGATTGAAGCTTTCATCTTATGAAATGAGAAGAAGAACATATATAACCTAGAACAAGAACAAATAAAATAAAGTCCAGAGTAGAAATCAGTGAACTGGAAAACAGATAAATAATAGAAAAATCAGTGATGTAAAATATGTTTTCTTGGAAAGATAATTAAAACTGATAAACTTTAAGGCAGGAAAAAAAAAGAAAAGATGCAAATTACCAATGTCAAGAATGAATAAAAAAACTGATGGAAGCACAAGGGGTATATAAACATATCCACAACTATAACTAGGTAGTTCAATACCACATTCCCAACAACTGACTCAGTAGACAGAAAATCAGTAAGTATATAGGTGACATTGCTACATATGCTACATGATTTTTTTATTTTATTTATTTATTCATGAGAGACACACACACACAGAGAGAGAGAGAGAGAGAGAGAGAGAGAGAGAGAGAGAGAGGCACAAACACAGGGAGAAACAGGCTCCATGCAGAGAGCCTGACGTCGGACTCGATCCCGGGTCTCTAGGATCACACCCTATGTGGAAAGCAGCGCTAAACCACTGAACCACCCGAGCTGCCCTGCTACATGATTTTTAAAAATTTCAGGGACTGTTAGGAACAACTAAATTCCAACAAATGTGGCCAATTAGATTAAATAGACACATTTCTTGGGACAAAGCTTACTCAAGAATTAGACAACCTGAATAACTCTATTAAAGAAACTAAATTGGTAATTGATAATCTTTCCAGAAAAAAGCCTTTTCCCTGCAGATAGGTTTACTGAGAATTCTGGTAAACATGTAAGTGAGAAATGCCAATTATTAAAAACTTTCAGAAAAACAAAGAGAATGTTTTCCAACTAATTCTATGAGGCCAATATTACTCTGTCACAAAAAAAAAGAATAGACAAAGGCATTCAGATAAAAAACACTATAGATCAATATTCCCCATGAATACAGATTAAAATATTTTAAAATTGTAACAAGCAAGATCTATCATCACATGCAAAAATAATATATATCATTTCCAAGTAGGGTTTACGCCAGAAATCCAAGAATGGGATTACATTTGAATATAACTCATTACATTAATAGATTCAAACCAAACAAACATAGCATCATTTTCATAGATGCAGAAATGTCATCTGAAAAAAATTCAACATCCATTTCTGATAAAAACTCTCAGAAAACTACAGGTACATGGGAACTTTCTCAATCTGACAAAGAAAATCTATAAAAATCTGCCACTAATATAAAACCTAACAGTGAAAGACCAGATGTTTTCCTCCAAAGGTCAGGAATGAGGCAGAGACAGTTACTTTCATCTTTTCTATTCAATACTGTGCTGGAGGTTCTTTCCAGTACAATAAATAGCAACAGAAAGAAATAATTTGGAAGTATATTGGAAAGGAAAAAGTAAAATTTGTTATTCATAGATGATACAATTGTCTACTTGGAAAATCCTATGGTATCAACTATAATGCCACTAGAACTAATAAATGAGTTGAACAATACATGATATAATACATGATACAATAATGAATATACAAAAATCATTGTATTTCTATATAAGGAATGAAAAATCCAAAATTGAAATTAAAACTTTCACAATAGACTCAAAAATATGAAATATTATGGGGATAAATCTGACATACTGTAAGACCTATACAGTGAACACTACAAGTCACAAATAATAGCAACCAAAGCTTTACATGGTTCTCTTAGTAACAAAAGTCAGCATGAAATAATTAATAAGGATGCAGATTTAAGCTGCACAATTAATAAATTTGACAACATATGGTCATCTATCAGACACTGTATCCAACAAAGCAGAGCAGAACAGACATTCTCTACAAGTACACCCAGAATATTTAAAAGTATAGTAGTCCATACACTTGTCAATAAAACAAGAGTCAATACATTTAAATGAATTGAAACCCATTCTGAGCATATGCTCTTACCATAGTACGATTGAGCTAGAAATTGAACAATAGAAATCTAACTAAAGAATCATACAAATAATCTGTGGATCAAAGAAGCAATGATGACAGAAAGCAGGAAATATATTAAGATGATCATGACAAAATTACACAATAAACTTTATTATTTTTTCTCCACTGATCTTTATTCTTATCTGTTTAACTTCTATTAGGTAGTGTTTAGAACATAGCACTTTGTATCCCTTTGTGCTTTAGAACTTCATTCTGGGAGAATTCCTCTGGCCCAATCACAGAGCTCAAAATTTCACTCTTAAACTGTCCTTTCTGCATTAGCACAAATCCGCCAATTTTTAAAAATACTATTGATCATATTTTCCCAATTCTTACTATTTTTCTTTTTTTTTAATTTTTATTTATTTATGATAGTCACAGAGAGATAGAGAGAGAGAGGCAGAGACACAGGCAGAGGGAGAAGCAGGTTCCATGCACCGGGAGCCTGACGTGGGATTCAATCCCGGGTCTCCAGGATCGCGCCCTGGGCCAAAGGCAAGCGCCAAACTGCTGCGCCACCCAGGGATCCCTCAATTCTTACTATTTTTCATCACTTCCTATTCTCACTTCATGGATGTTTACAGTTATTTGTTGTATTTCTGATAGCTGAATATGTTTGCCTTTCTAGCACACCAATTTTATTTTGAGTCATCATATCTCCCCCATCTTACAAACTATGGGACTGTAAATCAGGGTCCCTGCTGTGTTCTAGCCAAGGGGTAGCCATATGGTCCAAGCTAGGCAAATCACACTCTTTCCTCTGTGACATGAATATTAACCAAAGGGAAAGACAATAGAAATGTGTGGATCATCTTCATCATCCGATAAAAGTGTATCCCTGTGGAAAAATTCCCTTGTTGTGGTTCTTGTTCTATTTTTAATCCTGGATGTCTAGCATCTTCACATACTTCTGACAGATTTGTTTTTAAAATTTATCCCAGTGGGCAGCCCTGGTGGCCCAGAGGTTTAGTGCTGCCTTCGGCCAGGGGTGTGATCCTGGAGACCCGGGATCAAGTCCCATGTTGGGCTCCCTGCATGGAACCTGCTTCTCCCTCTGCCTGTGTCTCTGCCTCTTGCTCTCTCTCTCTCTCTCTCTCTCTCTCTCTGTCATGAATAAATAAATAAAATCTTTTTAAAAAAATTTATCCCAGTTTGTTTTTGAGGCCTGACACTAAGGAGGCCTAATGGACACAAGATATTGGTCTTCATTTACACCCCTGAGGACAGCAAGTATTCTTATGGTTTTATTATTTGTTCTGGTAACTATTTTTCTGGTTGCTAGTTTTTCTGTCATTGAATGCCTCTGTTTCATGATACTAGTTTTCCTTAAGAATCTTAGGATTCCTATTCTTTCAAGGATAAGTGTCTGTTTCCTTTAGCCTTCCTCTAGTTGCTATGCAGAGAGATGGAATTTGGAACTGGCCACCACATTGAGGCAGCCCCCTCATCTACTAGCCATAAACATTCCTCTTCTTCCTCTCAGGGCCTAGAACTACACTATTTGATGGGAAATCCCTCTGAAGCTCACTATTTAACTCAAGCATAGTTGGGTGGGTGGTGAGGATGATGATATCAAAAAGGCCCAATGTTACCATCCCCTCTGAATGGATGTCTTCAAGAAATCCCATATAGATCTCCCTTAGACCCCCTCCTCTCCTGGGTATTCTTTGTATCTGCATGTGGCTCACCCTTAGGACTCCTCTGGCCTTTTCTAAACAATTCACTAGAGTAATTATCACTCAGTCAATTTCAGGCCATTTTCTGTTTGGTGTCTTTCAGGAATTTCTCGTAGTATGGGTAACTCTATTTCTTATTTTTCCATATTAAAAAGAATTAATTCCTTTTTAAATACCTCTTCTATCTTTTCTAAGAAGGCAAGGCAAAAGATGTTCAGTCTGCATATATGAATGAAAAGTTGAAGCAGTTTAGATAAAGAGTCATAAACACCAATGAAACACACCAAATATACTGATCTGGAAAGATGCCTGGGGTAGAGCTAGAAGTTTTGGGATTATCAGCATATAAAGGAAGTTATACAATGGGAATGCAGTACACAGTTTATATAGAGGAAGATGAATATGAGGTATTGAACCTGAATATATATATATATATATATATATATATATATATATATATATATTCTCCCACCGCTGTCCCCAGACTCCAGCCACTCTTCTTGCTATGGATCCCAACTGCTCCTGCGCTGCCGGTGGCTCCTGCAGGTGTGCCGGCTCCTGCAAATGCAAAGAGTGCAGATGCACCTCCTGCAAGAAAAGCTGCTGCTCCTGCTGCCCAGAGGGGTGTGCCAAGTATGCCCAGGGCTGCATCTGCACGGGTACATCGGACAAGTGCAGCTGCTGTGCCTGATGTGCCTGATATGCCTGATGTGCCTGATGTGGGGAGAGCCTGTTCCAGATGTAAATAGAGCAATGTGTACAAGCCTACAGTTTTTTTGGTGTTTTTTGTTTTGGGTCCAACTTTGACCCATTTGCTACTACATTCCTAGTTATTTTCCCTATAAAATAATACATGAATTATAATAAAAGCTGTCAACTTAAAAAAATAGAGATGTAGAAATATCTCTCTCTCTCTCTCTCTATATATATATATATATACACACATTATTTTTCCCATGGCTATATATAGCGGGGGGGGGGATGGGACAGAGGAAGAGAAAGAGAATCTCAATCAGGCTCCATACTCAGCACAGAGCCCAACATGGGGTTCAATCTCACAACCTTGAGATCATGACCTGACCCACAATCAAGAGTTGGATGCTTCATGGACTGCACCACCCAGATGCCCCATGAACCTGAGTATCACATTTCATGTGTGGATGATGGGAGACAAGATATTAAACAAACAGAGGAAGAGTCTAAAGAAAGAGCAGCGCTAGGAGAGAGTAGGCCTACACAATTTAAATTTACAAATGTTACCCTGCTTAAATTCTAGCCCCATTTCAATATGCGCCCATTAAAAGAAAACTCATTTATCTGCAAAATTCCCATATGCATCATCTGCCTGTAAACTAATTTTGGATTTTATATTTTCAAGCAAGGGGCTATTTGCAGAGCCCAGAACAACATACTGCTTCACTGATTAGATGGTCAGTAACATTGATAATGATAATGACGATCACGGCCATGATACTGGAAAATTCTGAGCACATATTTTGGCCAGTATCGCTAATTTGTTGCTCTCTGTCTGTATCTTACATCTGGAATCTGGATATTCAGGAGTGAGTAATTAATCAGGCTTGGATTTTATATTCAACACCAGATGTATTTAAAGCTTTAGCTCAGATTGTTAAAAGCTGTTTTATCACAAATGACCTATACAGATTCTGGCAGAACCAACTAGGCTAACTTTACTGGGAAAGTTACATTTTTGAGGAGCTCACTACTGAATAATGTCTCAAGGGTCTCCAAGATACACACACTGCATCATATGCATGGGCACTCAAAAGTAATTTTGATTCAAGATATGAGGATGGTAAAGAGTAGCCAGTATTTGCATTGATCTACATTGAAGGCTATCTTGAGAGTTTACTATGTCTAATTGCTTCATTTTGTTGTTGCTATTCAGCTAACTAAAAAATCAAAAGTTTCTCCTATTTCTCACATTATTTTTCCCATGGCTATTTAGTTGTGACTTTAAACGGTTTCTGTCTTACATAAAAGATATCCATTGCCTGTGATATACTCAGTACTATGAGGCTCCTTGTAATAATGAAGTCGAATCTTTGTTCTGGTAAATTTTTGGCTTCACTTCTCTTTTGTTTCTCTTCTCTGTTTCAATGCCATGAGAATCCCGTTTGAAAAATAATTCAGGCAAAAACCTTAAAATTTAACCAGAGTAAAAATATTTCCATATCAACTTCCTTATCTGGCCTTATGTATGAACTACACAGACAATTTTATCTGTATAAACACAGGTTTTAAATATAGGAAATTCCCAATATACAAGCGCATTGTGTTTTCCAAGTTTGTTTACGTGAGTACTATTTTGAACCTGGAAGGTAATTCCCCACAGAAACAATAGTATATATAATAATACCCGTTTGAGGTTGTCTGACATATCACAGTTCTCAAAGTATCTCTACAACCATTTTTTTTTACCCATCTTGAAAGAAACCCCTTAAGAATTTATGCGGGTATTGTTGTTTCCTTTATATAAATGATCAAAACCAGGCTTAAAGATTAAGGGGAAGTGGAACTACACCCCATAGGGAAGTGAGGTTAAACAGTCACCAGCAGGTGACCCCTACTGACCCTTCCCCCCCTTCTTCATGGGAATGTTAATCTTATCTTTTGGAGGCAAGTACCAAGAAGAGTTCCAGTGGTCTAGACCAATCTGAGCTCAACCACCAACTCACACACATAGGGACTGACCATGGAGTATCTGACAGTTAACCTCTATCTCATTATAGTATTAAAGTCTCTGTCCAAGAAGATTTCATTAACACAGGATGCATATATAGGCATGTTTCCTAAGTACCTATGTATGACCTTATGTCCACCTCTACATATGATGGCAAAACTCCCCTTTCTGAATATTCATCCTAAGCCCAAATTAAAGAAATCCACCCACCTCCAGTTAGGGAGTCACAGCTTTGAAAACTACTCCCTGTGATCTTATTTGCTGCAAATAAAATGTCCTTTGTGTGACAACTCCTCCTGTGTCATTCCTACCTGTGACTCATCAAAGAGTGAATTCATGTTAGTTCAGGTACAGAAACTTCTTTCTTCTTCTACCCACAGAACACTCTGACACCAAAAGTAGAGGTGTTTTCCCACACTGACCAATTTTCCAATTCTCCCAACACCAACTGGATGTTCTACACATCAATTATGATACTATCTGGCATTAGCATGAACTCCACAGTTTAAGGGCTCAGTCCCATAAGTCTGCCCCATCCCACTTCAGACACCAGTACGGTTCCAAATTGTCACCTGTGCTTCTGACTGGGACCTCGCATTAGCCCTCCTTAGGTTTGGTAATTTATTATAATGGTTCACAGAACTCAGTGAAACACTTATGTTTACTGGTTTATTAGAAGCATATAGATGAAGATTTACAAGGTGAAGTCCAGTAGGGTCCTGGACAAACTAGCTTCTGTCCCTGTGGAACTGGGGTGCAGCACACCATCATCCTGGTACATGGGTGTGTTCACCAATCTAAACTGCATACTTTAGGGATTTTTATGAAGATTTCGTCACATAGGCATGATTGACTGTGTACTCAATCTCCAGCCATTCTCTTCTCCACAGAGGATGCAGGATGGGCCTGAAAGTTCCAAACTTTAAGCTTGGTTTGGTCTTTCTGGTGACTAGCCCCCATCTTGAAGCTGTCTAGGGACTCCCAGACACCAGTCATCATATTAGCATACAAAATGACACTCATCATTCTGGAGATTCCAAGGGTCTTAGGAGCTCTTGTGACAGGAACCAGGGTCAAAGACCAAATATTAGAACAAAAGATGTTTCCAGCATCCCTATTACTTAGGAAATTACAAGCATTTTAGAATCTCTGTATCAGGAAACACAGAGACTATTTCTTGTGATATCATAAAATGCTGTGACTTGCCAAGGTTTTGGACCCGTGAATGGACAAGTAATAGGCAGCACTGAAGTTAGAACCGAGGATTTGGGGCTGCTAGAGAAGGACTTCCACCACAATGTGTTACCCCACAAGTGTCAATTAAGTTACTTGGGATGTTTAAAGCTTTTTCGGCAAGTGTTATACATTTTCCTTGAATGATAGTAGGAAATGCTGGAATAGTACTAACTAAATTAAAACAAATAAGATATTTGGTATCTCTCCTTACTTCCTTCCTTATCCCTCTGATGTGTCACCTGCTCTGGGGGAGTCAAGTTGCCATATTGTGAGCAAGTTTATGGAGAGGCAAATGTAGAAGAAATAGGTCATCAGTCCCCTAGTGGACAAGAAACCAAAATCTGTGAATAACTACATGAGGGGAACCTTCAGCCTCAATTGAATCTTGAGATGACTAGAGTCCTGGCCTGCTTAACTACCCTGAAATGAGTTAACAGGTAATTCATCAACATGCACATTTCAAAAATACAAAAAAAAAAAAAAAACCTTTACATATATAATATAAAGGAGAACTAAAAGACAATAATTTACTATAATATAATGTGCATTTAAATATGCAAATGCTCTGGCATGACCACCTTGAAGACATATTAAAATAGCCAAGTGCTTGAATCTCTATGTGACTTCAGAGGCAGATGGCTGTAGTTGTGTGACCTCCTCAAATTCTATAAGAATTACCATTGGTGACACAATTTTCCAAAATAACAAACAACTCTTGGTATAATAACCCAAACACCACCTTCCCTTGAAATACAGAGAAGTTACATCCCTGGAATATAGTTACAGTATTATATTGAGTTTTGAAAATTTTGCTTATAGATTGGTTATTATCTTAATTTCATTTCAGAATTGTAAAGCAGGCATAAAAAGTAATTATTATAAAAAGAGGACATTAAGCCTCATAGGGCTGAGCACTGGTGTAAAGAATTATTATTAAAAAAGGACATTAAACCTAATAGGGCTGAGCACAAGCATAGAAAAAAAAATGTAGTTAAAATGTTGAATCAACTTGGTAAGAAATTTAAAAAAAAAGAAATCACCTCAGCGATTCAGTGCTAAATGTGGGGAAAAATCCAGATTTCTATAGTGCAGGGAATTCCTGGGCAGCACTTATTGTTTCCTCTTTTTTTTTTAAAGTTTTTTTTTAATTTTTATTTATTTATGATAGTCACACAGAGAGAAAGAGAGAGAGGCAGAGACATAGGCAGAGGGAGAAGCAGGCTCCATGCACCGGGAGCCCGATGTGGGATTCGATCCCGGGTCTCCAGGATCACGCCCTGGGCCAAAGGCAGGCGCCAAACCGCTGCGCCACCCAGGGATCCCTATTGTTTCCTCTTAATACAAGCATTATACCCCTGCACTCCTGTGAGACATTGATTCTCTATAATCTGTGATGCCACAGCCCCAATGACTGTCCTCCAACCTCTTTCTTTATGACTTTGTAATTAGTCATGCTCCACTTCATTTTATTTTTTTTATAAATTAATTTTTATTGGTGTTCAATTTACCAACATACAGAATAACACCCAGTGCTCATCCCGTCAAGTGTCCCCCTCAGTGCCCATCACCCATTCACCCCCACCCCCTGCCCTCCTCCCCCTCCACCACCCCTAGTTCGTTTCCCAGATTTAGGAGTCTTTATGTTCTGTGTCCCTTTCTGATATTTCCCACACATTTCTTCTCCCTTCCCTTATATTCCCTTTCACTATTATTCATATTCCCCAAATGAATGAGAACATACACTGTTTGTC